CGGGTGCGGCCAGGCCCGGAGCAGCGGCTGCCAGGCTGGGAGCGGCCAGGCCCGGGGGAGCAGGCGGGTCGGGTGCGGCCAGGCCCGGAGCAGCGGCTGCCAGGCTGGGAGCGGCCAGGCCCGGGGGAGCAGCAGCCAAGTCCAGAGCAACTAGGTCGGGAGCGGCAGTGACCAGACCCGGAGCAGCTGATTGTGGAATGAACCAGAGCAACAGAGGCCAGGCCCTGAGCAGCCAGGCCCAGAACCTTGCCTGCCCCTGCCCCACGGCTGATTCTCAGACATGGCTTGAAACTTTCGTGGGAACTTGAGGGTCTGCTGAATCAAGTGATGAAGGCTTAGATCTGGATGTGTTGAGTTAGTTTAGGGCTGGGGTGTTGATCTTTGAGTGCCTTGGGTGGGGCCTGGATGAGGCTGGTGGACCTATTGGGAAATGTCTTTTGTGTGAAGTGTATCATTGGGCATGTGGAGGTATTATTGATATGAGAAAATGCTAAGTAACTGATTTACTATCTGAAAAGGGATTTACTATTGGGGAAATGGAGGGAAGAAGAGACTGAACATAAACTGCACCTATGGATGAGGACAGTGGGGGATGGGGAGGGGGCAGAGGGTTGGGTGGGAACTTGGTGGAGGGGGGAAGAAATGAGGAACCTTTGTAATAATATGAACAATAAAGATTGATTAAAAACAAAAAAAAAAAAAAAAAAAAAACTCCCAGGAATTTGAAAATAGAGGGAACATACTCATCATAATGAAGGCCATATATGACAAACCCACAGCCAACATCATACTCAATGGGCAAAAACTAAAAATGTTTCCCTTAAGATCAGGAACAAGACAGGGATGTCCACTTTCACCATTCTTATTCAAAATAATACTCTAAATCATAGCCTCAGCCATCAGACAAAAAGAAAAAATAAAAGGCATCCAAACTGTAAAGGAAGTAAAACTGTCACTCACAGATGACATGATATTGTACATAGAAAATCCTAAAGATTACACCAAAAATGCCAGAGCTAATCAATGAATTCAGCAAAGTAGCAGGATACAAAATTAATATCCAGATATTGATGGCATTTCCATACACCAATAATGAGTTATCAGAAATAGAAACAAAGAAAAAATTTCATTGTTTATTAAACAACAACAAAATTAGGTACCTAGGAAAAAATTTAATCAAGATGATAAATGATAAATTTTCAAATTAGAGGACACTGAAGAAAAAGAGAAAGATACCATTAAGTGGAAGTACATACCATGTTTATGGATTAGAAGAATGAGCATCATTAAAATGTCCATACCACCCCAAAAAATCTATAGATTCAATGCAATTTCCATTAAAATAACAATGGCATATTTCACAGATCTAAAACATTTCAAAAATTTATATGGAACAAGAAAATGCCCCAAATAGGCTCAGCTATCTTGAAAAAGAAGAGAAAAGTTGGAGGTATCATAATACCAGAAATAAAAGTTTATTACAATGCCATTATGATCAAATCAGCCAGTACTAGCATAAGAGCAGGCAGATAGATCAATGGAATAGAACAGAGATCCCAGAAATCATCCCAGGCCTACATGATCAATTAACATTTGATAAAGTAGGTAAGAATATACACTGGGATAAAGACAGTCTCATCAATGGTGTTGGAAAATTTAGACAGGTACATGCAAAAAATGAAACAGAATAAACTCAAAATGATAAAAGATTAAATCACAAAACCATAAAAATCCTAGAGAGAAAAAAAAACATAGGCAGTAAAATCTCAGAAATCTCTCAAAGCAATATCTTGGTCAACATGTCTCCTCAGACAAAGGAAATATAGAAATAAATAAATAAACAGGACTACATAAAACTAAAAAGCTTATACATAGCAAAAGAAACAATCAACAGAATGAAAAGAGAACAGATTGTATGAGAAAACATTTTCCAGTGATACATATGGCAAGACGTTAGTTAATCTCCACGTTATATAAAGAACTTATACAACGCAACACCAGGAAGACAACAATCCATTTTAAAAATGGGCAAAGGACCTGAATAGACACTTCTCCAATAGGGACATACAGATGGCCAATAAACATAGGAAAAATTATTCAAGGTCACTAACCATCAGAGGGATGCAAATTAAAACCACAATGAGATATTACCTCACTCCTGTCAGAATGGCTACAATCAATAAATAGCAAGTGCTAGCAAGTATGTGGAAAAAGGGAACCCTAGCACATAACCTGGGCACGTGCCCTGACCAGGAATCAAACCCTGACCTCCTAATTCATATGTCAATGCTCAACCATGGAGTAATGCCAACTGAGCTATTGTTTATCCCTTTTTTAAAAAAAAAACAAATGAAGATAAACAAGAATAAGAAACAATTTATGAGATATTAGAGCTGATCATGTCACTTTTTCCAATATACTGTTACATTGCTCAGGTTAGAAAACCTAAATCTAGCTACCTAATTAAATCACAACAGATCAAGTCCTTGGATATTCCTGGTAGATCATTTTATGTTTTATAATCATTTTAATAAACTAATAAGTTCAATTTACTAAAATCTATTTGAAATGCTTACAAATATCTTAATTGATACTGATCTAGATTTTACATTTTAGGGGCTATCCTCATCTATTAAAATAATGCATTATAGAATGATCTGGAAAAACTTTGTTAAAGTTATCTATTATTTCTTGTTGCCTGCAAAACTATTGATTCTTGTTTTAAAAACAAGATCATAATTAAATTTAAATGTTTTCCTTTGTTGCCGAAACCAGTTTGGCTCAGTGGTAGAGTGTCGGTCTGTGGACTGAAAGGTCCCGGGTTCGATTCCGGTCAAGGGCATGTACGTTGGTTGTGGTTACATACCCCGTGGGGGGTGTGCAGGAGGCGGCTGGTCGATGTTTCTCTCTTATCGACGTTTCTGGCACTCTCTCTCTCTCTCTCTCTCTCTCTCTCTCTCTCTCTCTCTGTTTCTCCCCCTTCCTGTCTGTAAAAAAATCAATAAAATATATTTTAAAAATAAAAATAAAAATAAATGATTTACTTTGTTGATAGATCTGTACAAGTTTTTTTTTTTTTTTTTAATAGTATCTTAAGTCTACTTTGATTATTTAGGCTTATACCAACAAGTTATTATATCTCATCATTTTGTGGGTCAGGAATTTGGGTAGGGGCTCAGTTGATCAATTTTTTTTCTATTCTATATAGCAATGACTGAGGTCACTCAATGGCATTCTACTGGTGGCTGATGTGAAGGATCCAAAACTATTTCACTCAACTCTCTGGTGTCCTGGTGGGCATGGCTGGAAGACTGGGCACTTCTCTCAATGTATTCTCAGAATTTTTTCAACAGAAGTAGCCAGACTTTTTAATAGTTCAGGGTCTGAACTTGAGAGAATATGCTAATATTAGTAAATAAAATAAAATATACCAGTAAGTCTGGGTCCAGAAACTGGCATGTCCACTATATTCTTCTGGTCAAAGTCGAAGTCTGATAAGATTAAAGAGGAAAGGTTGTAAATTCCACCGCTTAAAGGGAGAAATATCAATGAATTTACAGTAATATTACTCTGCCACAGTAGTATATCACCATAGAGGCCCGATGCATAAAATTTGTGCAAGAGTAGGCCATCCTTCCCCTGGCTGCCAACACCGGCTTCCCTCTGGCACCCAGAACCTGGCAGGCACCTGGGACCCAGGCTTCCCTTGCAGCCTCAGCTTAATTGGGGAGATCATCAGGAAGAACATCCAGTCTAATTAGCATATTATGCTTTTATTGTTACAGATTTTACAAATCTAAATTGTAACACAGAGCAGTTAACAGCATATTGTCCAATATAATACAAGTAGGAAAATGATGGGTTAGAGGTAAGTGTGTTTCCCACATTTTTTATATTAAGATCAGTTTTAAGAATAAATGTGAAGTTTATCAGATTTGAGTAATGGTAGAATACATTAAATGACATTTTTAATAATGCTTTTCATTATTAAGGTATTACAATATTTGCCCATTGCCCCACCATCTTCCCACTCATGCCCTCACTCCCCCATTGTCTGTGTCCATTGGTTAGACTATATGCTTGCATAGAAGTCCTTTGGTTGACTTCTTACCCCTACCTTCCCTCTGAGGTTTGATGGTCTGATCAATGCTTCTGTTTCTGGATCTGTTTCTGTTCATCAGTTTATGTTGTTCATTATATTCCATAAATGAGATCATGTGATATTTATCTTTCTCTGACAGGCTTATTTCACTTAGTATCATGCACTCCAGTTCCATCCATGCTGTTGCAAATGGTAAGAATTCCTTTTTTTTTTTTTCTTTTTTTTCTGCAGCATAGTATAGATGTGTAGATTCTGTAGATGTACCACCATTTTTTAAATCCATTCATCTGCTGATAGGCACACTGTTTCCAAATCTTAGCTATGGTAAATTGTTTCACTATGAACATAGGGGTTCATATAGCCTTTCTGATTAGTGTTTCTCCTCTCAGCACAGTGCAGTCTAGGCAGCAGCCCTGAATGCCCTCTTTGGCCGTCATCACTGTGGACCCATCTCTAGAATCCCCTGTCACCAGCAGTCCTATGGACCTCCTTTCCACAGACAGATGCTATGCCTGATCAAAGGGATGTGGCCTCTGTGCTGTGAGGTTTCCCTCTGACCCTCTGGACTCACGGGTCTTGCAGTTCTCCCCAGCCCAGGTTTCTGATTTTACCATTCTCCAGGTGTCCTCTGCCCTTTCTGGTTGTGAATTGCTCACCAGCTGTATCTACTTCACCAATTTGGGGTGGATGTTATTTGATTTAGTTGCTTGTTCTATCTGCTCCAGGACAAGGCTTAGGACACATCCATCTATTCCACCTCCATTTTCAGAGATATTTTTTTCTAAATTACCATATTTTAAAAATTCTATAAAAATGCATATACCAAGATGATTGCATGTATGAAGCAAAAGGAATTACTACATTAATAAGGTTTCTACACTACAGGACTGAGACTTTCTTATAGTTTTACATTATGAATTTTCAGATGATGGGTTAGGTGTGAATGCTGTCTAAAGGCCTTCTTACATTCCTTGCACTCATAGGGTTTCTCCCCAGAATGAATTCTCAGATGTTGAATAAGTGATGAATTAAGTCTAAAGGACTTCCTACATTCCTTACATTCAAAGGGTTTCTCCCCAGTATGAATGCTCTGATGTAAAGTGAGTTTTTGGCGCAATCTAAAGGATTTCCCACACTCCTTACACTTATAGGGTTTCTCACCAATATGAATACTCTGATGTTGTGTAAGTTGTGAGAGGAGTCTGAAGGTCTTCCCACATTCCTTACAGTCATAGGGCTTAACACCAATATGGATGCTCTGATGTGAAATAAGTTGTGAATAACGACTAAAAGCCTTCCAACATTCTTTACATTCATAAGGTTTCTCCCCCGTATGAATTCTGTGATGAAGAATAAGATGATAACCACGACTAAAGGTCTTTCCACATTCCTTACATTCATAGGGTTTCTCACCAGTATGAATTCTCTGGTGGAGTGTTAGTTGTTGTCGCACTCTAAAAGCCTTCCCACATTCCTTACATTCATAAGGTTTCTCACCAGTATGAAGTTTGTGATGTATTCTAAGGCCAGAGCCACACAAAAAGGCCTTCCCACATTCTTTACATTCATAGAGTTTGTCAGCAGTATTAAGCTTCTGATGTCGAGTAAGGTGGGCATACTGTCTAAAGGCCTTTCCACATTCTGTACATACATAGGGTTTCTCACCAGTATGAATCCTCTGATGAAGAGTAAGTTGTCCACGCACTCTGAAAGCCTTCCCACATACCTTACAATCATATGGCTTCTGACTAGTATGAATTTTCTGATGTACTCTAAGATCTGTACCAGACATGAAAGATTCTCCACATTCCTTACATTCATAGAGTTTTTCAACAGTATGAAGTCTCTGATGTCGATTAAGGTGGACAGTCTGTCTAAAGGCCATTCCACATTCCTTACATTCATAGGGCTTTTCACCAGTGTGAATTCTGTGGTGAAAAGTAAGTTGTTGGCGTACTCTAAAGGCTTTCCCACATTCTTTACATTCATAGAGTTTCTTAACAAATTGAATTCTCTGATGTGGAGTAAGAGATGTATGATTCTGGTAAGAGGACACTTTTTGAGATGTTATTTTCACTTCTCCAAAATATCCCTCTTGTCCTTTAAACATTTTTTTTGACTCACAATTATATTTTAAAATTAGGTTCTTAAGGCCATGTGTGTTAATTCTTTCCATTATCTTCCACTGGACTAAGTTTATCTCATTAATGTCATTTTCTGAAGATAACCTCTTGGTTTCATATCTGGTCTCCAAATCTGAAAGAAAACAAGAGAACAAACATATAGTTCTTTTTTCTGAAAGTAATAAAATTTCTACTGAAAAAAAAAAAAATAATGCCCAGTGAAATTCTAAAACTACTATAAAATTTGAGGAGGAAAAAACATAAGGTAACACCAGGAAAAAAAAAGAGTTCATGAAAGATTGGGTATTAGTTATAGGCATGCCTCGTTTTATTGTACATCCCATTATTGTGCTTCACAAATACTATATTCTTTACAAATTGGAGGCCTGTGGCAATTTTACATTAACCAAGTCTATCAGCACCATTTTCCCAAAAGCATTTGTTCACTTCATGTCTCTGTCCTATTCTGGTTATTAATTCTTTCAATATTTCAAACTTTTTTTGTTATTATTATATTTGTTATGATGATCTATGATCATTGATCTTTGATATTACTCTCTACCTGCAAAAAGATTATAATATACTCAATGTTCAGATAATGGTTCACATGTTTTAGCAATAAATAATTTTTAATTAAGTTATGTATATTCTTTTAGACATGATGGTATTGCATGCTGGAGGCTGGGAATAGTAGTTAGCATAATAAATACAGGAAATCCACCAAAAGGTTGAGGAACAGTTTCAGCAGAGCTGAAGATTTGCATTATTATTGCCTACTGCAAGACAGCTGAGGGCAGTTCCCCCATCTGATAATTTTTTATTGTTTACCAGGCCATATCTTTGATATGTATATCTGCTTTGCTTTAGGGATATTTGTGTTAATAAAAAGCGAGGGGTCCAGAAACTCAGAAAACTTAGGTACTAGAACCAAGTTTCCATCTGGCCCTCTAATATGCCTTTCAAATTTATATTTCATGTCTAGTCTCTTTATTCATTCATTCATACTCCCTTTTCCAGATTCCTTGAGCCCTTCTAGATGCTGAGAAACACCCCAACAATTGCACACTTAATAGACTACAGTATGATGTACATATAATTGAATAGTCTCTAGAAAACAACAAAAAAATGTGTGAATTTCTTTAAGGTGAATACTTGCTTTATTGCAGTGGTCTGAAACCAAATCCACAATATCTCTGAGATATGCCTGTAAACATTTTAAGTCAGTGGTTCTCAAATTGAGATATTGATTAGAATCACTAGGGTACTTATTACAAATGGTCAGGTTTAGATACAACCTAAATCTCTTGCATAACATTCTACAGTCCTGGGCAATCCTATTTCAATATTACCATATGATTCAGATGAAAATAAAAGAAAAATTCATACTTAACTTTTTTTCAACAATTTTTCTTTATTCTTAAACTAAAATAAAACCCACTGTGATTAAAATGCCTTTGCTTATAACACATTATCTCAGCACTGTCCTCGTCACTGCTACTTGGAGAGACCAATTGAGATCGTAGAGCATGTCCCAACTTACTTTTCATCTTTTAGGACTTTTCAATTTGATATATCTCCCACAATTCTTCTGATTTGGGCTTTTTGTATGATAGCTTCTTCTCATCCTGAGCTCTTAGATTAAAAGTCACTTACTTTAAGCCTAGCTCTACTGACAGCAGTTAAATTGATGTTTTGGGTGGGTTGGGTTTTTTTGTTTTGTTTTTTTTGTTACATATCTGTCTAATTATATAGGTATATATTTTTTAAAATTCTATATTGAAATGATATAGTTATTAATTTTTCAAAATGTTATTTTGCTTATTTTCTTACCCTTAAACCTCTTTAAGGGCAAAAAACACAATCTCTACTTTACTCTTCATTAAAAAATAAATTCAGCCCTAGCAGTTTGGCTCAGTGAATAAAGCATCAGCCTGTGGACTGAAGGGTCCTGAGTTCAATTCTGATGGGCACTTACCTCAGTGGCAGGCTCCTCCCTGGCCCTGGCCCTGGTCAGAGCTCATAGAGGAGGCAACCAATCTCTCTTACATAAGTGTTTTTTCTCTGTCTCTCCCTCTCCCTTCCACTCTCTAAAAATCAATGGGAAAAATATCCTCAGGTGAGGATTAAAAAGATAAAATAAAAATAAATTCATAACACATAATAGGTTTCACTCATTTAATTGCCATATAGTTCTCTGTCTCTAATCTGGCTTTAGTATATTTACTATACTAGAGGTCCAGTACATGAAATTAGTGCACTCAAGGGGCCCCTCAGCCCGACCTGTGCTTGCTTGCAGTTGAAGAGCCCTCAGAACTGTCAGTTGGACATCCTTAGCACTCACCAGCCATGAGTCCAGCTTCTGCTGAGCAGCACTCCCTGTGTGGGAGCACATTGACCAACCGGAGGCAGCTCTTGCATTGAGCATCTACCCCTGGTGGTCAATGCACGTCATAGTGACGGTTGTTCCACAGTTTGGTCAATTTGCATATTAGCCTTTTATTACATAGGATATCTTACCATAATGATTAAGTATTTCTTTTATTCATTCAAACTAGTCTAGTTAAATATATAAATGGAAAATGGTGATTGTATACTCTTATGTATCCTATCACTGCTTATATACCCTTAACTATGCAGTATTCTCTATAATACTCATTCCTTCCTTCATATAACTATGAGTTACTTTTTCTTTGTGTCCACATACAAAAATGGTACTGATGATTTATACTTACTTAATCTTCCTTTAGGCCTATTCTATTAATCATGCATTTTACAAAGGTTTGTTTTATTCTTTTATCCCCAAGCTATGAGTTACTTTTTCTTTGTTTCTCATATTAAAAAGATTCTGAGGAGTTCTACTTATTTAATTTTCCTTTAAGCATATTCTATCACTCAACCATTTTACAAATGCTCAACTGGTTCTGTTCCTTTATCCCCTTGCTCAGGTCTTCTGCCTTCCATCCCCTCAGAGGCAAGGTCATTCATGTATTTCCTAGAAATGTGATTTTCAGACAGAAGTAAATGTTTATACTTTACTGAAGTTCTCATGAAATCCTTAGCAAAAGAAAAAAAAAAGGAATGTATGTTGGGAACTCACTAATAGGGACAAAAGGTTTTGCAGTTTCTGGAGTGTAAAATACTTGCTAACAAAGGTCACTTTGAATACAGACTAGTATATGCCCAGCCAAGAGGAGAAAAAAAACCATAGGAAAATTTAGATACTGAATGAATTGTGCATGAGAGAAAAAGGATGACTTTTTCAATTATGATAATACTAGAGCCCTGGTGTATAAAATTCATGCACAGGATGGGGGTCCCTCAGCCTGGTCTGCACCTCTCACAATCCAGGATCCCTCAGGGGATGACCAACTGCTGGTTTAGGCCTGATCCTGCACTGGCATCTGGACTTCCCTTTCTCAATCTGGGACTACTAGCTCCTAACTGTTCACCTGCCTACCTGCCTGATCACTCCTAACCACTCACCTGCCTGCCTGATCACCCCTAACTGCCTCTGCTTCAGCCCACACATCTAGGATCCAGGCTTCGCTCCCTCTGGCTGTCCACAGGCACTTGAAACCCAGGTTTCCTTCCCTCTGGTTGGCTGCAGGTACTTGGGAAGGACATCTGAAATGATGTCTAGAATGATGTCTGAAAGACATCTGGTCTATCTGTTCTAATTAGCATATTACGAATTTATTAGTATAGATGGTCTATATAAAAAGTTGAAATCATATAGACTTTTTTACTAAAACTAGAAATAACAGAATTTTTAACAGTAAGTCCACTTAAAACTTTAGAAGTCTATATTAAATAACTCTTAGATCAACATGGACATAAAATACAAAATAGTATTTTTGTATTTTAAAACTAATGATAATAATCTTTAAAAACCTACTTTGTGTCTATAATTTTAACCACAATGCATATAAGGGAATTAAAAAAACACCAATAAAAACTTTTAAATAATTGAAAATCCTCAAAAAATTAGGAAAATAATAAATGAATGCAAAGTACAAATGGCATTAACTGTATAAAAGCAGAATTAGGTTAGAAAAAAACTAATACATAAAACAAAAACAAATCAGAAAATAAGATAAACCATTAGTTCATATAATGAAAACAGAAAGAAAGCACAGACACTGAAATAAGAAATGGCAATTAGGGTGTTCAAGGGGGGATCCAAGATGGCTGCGCCCAGGTGAATACCTAGCTGCAGCCTCACACAACAATTTCAATAAAATACAACTAAAATATAAAACGGACATTACCCAGAACTACAGGAAAGTTGACTGACTGGAAATTCTACAACGAGAAGCAAGGAGAAAACCAGAAGGAAGCGCGGAGGAGCTGGAAAAGCCCAAGGTACGGAGATGCGGCGCGGAGAGGACGGAGCAGGAGAGGAGGGCGGCCGAGTGCCTGGCGGGCGTTCCCTAGCGGGAAGGAGATAAAACTCGTACTGTGCTGGGCCCCATACTGACTGCTCTGAACCCCAGGCCTAGGCCAGACCCCGGGGACCCAGGCTCAGCTATAGGGAGCCGGGGAAGCGGCGAAAGGAGGTCCCGGGACGGCGCCGCGCAGTGCGCGCAGAGAAGGGACAGCCGGCTGTGCCGCGGGATTGCCTGGCGGGAAGGAGACAGGGGCACCAGACTGCTCTGAACGCCACCTCCAACTCCACTTCCAACTGAATTGAACCCCAATACCGGGCTCATTGGGGAGAGCATTGACTGTTTGGCAGCAGGCGAAAATCGAGGGCACCTTTCTCTCAGAGGCGCCGGCAGCGAGCACTGAAGGACCCGCATAGGGCGGGGCTGACGGAAGCCAAGGCTGCAGGCTCCACCCTGAAACCCCGCCCCATCTGTAACTGCGAAATGCAGCAACGAAATAGATCACAAACTAAAGAAATGGAGGACAAAAAGCATCTGGATATAGAGTTCAAATCTACGCTTATAAGGTTTTTCAAGAATTTCCTAGAAAAGATGGATAAGACCTATGAGGATATGAAAAGAGATCAACTAGAATTAATAAGGAGTCATCAAGAAATGATAAGGGATCAACAAGAAATGATAAGGGATCAACAAGAAATAAAGAATACATTGTCTGAAATAAAAAATATTTTACAGAGTCCTAAAAACA